GCCCACACACCACCACCACCCACACACACTACCACCACCCACCCACAAGCAACACCCCCCCACACACACAGCCACGCACCTTGACCCGCCACGACTCCTCCACCAGCAGGTTGGGCGACTTGAGGTCGCGGTGCACGATGGGGGCGGGGCGGTTGTGCAGGTACAGCATGCCCAGCGCGGCATCAAGCGCCTGCGGGTGTGTGTGCGAGGGTGGTGGGTATGGCTGAATGGATAAAAGCGTGGCTGGGTTTGGAGCCCCAGCCACGGCACAGTGCGGCAGGGTGGCACCAGGGGCAGCGAGGGGCAGGGGCAGGGGCAGGGGCAGAGGCAGGGGAAGAAGAAAGCGCGGGGCACCATGGCGAGGCGGCGGCGCCAGGTCAGCTCCGCCGCCAGCCTGGCGCTCTGCCGCGCCCGGATCAACACCTCCGCCAGGCTGCCCCGGGAGCAGTACTCTGCGGCAGGCAGGGCAGGAGGGCGAGGCAGGAACAGGGGGTGGTGAATACCTCTGAACTGAGATGTGGAGCAGTGGCGCGGCACACAGTGCTGTAGTCGCATGGAATGGCAGGCCGGTACTGCTGTGTGCCCGCCGTGCAGCCCGGCCGCATCACCTGTCAGGATGCAGGGCGGCAGGTGGCACACCCCCAGAAAGTTGACGACGTTGGGGTGCCTCAGAGCCGCCAGCAGGCCTGCCTCCTGCAGCCAGGCGCGCAAGGGGCAGCGCTCAGCGCTCAGGGAGGGAGGGAGCTGGCCGGCCGCGAGCCCCAGGGGTGTGGCCCAGCCCGGCCCCGGGGAGCACGTGTTGGCGGCGGCGGCGCAGCACACCGCATGCCACAGCGCAGCGCAGCAGGTCACAGCGCAGCATGCACAGCGTGCGCAGCGTGCCGCAGCCCAGATCACAGCGCACGCAGCGGCCCCGCACCTCGTCCAGCTTCGCCTGCAGCGGCTGGGAGAGCGCCGACAGCGCCGCCGCCGCCGCCTCCGCGTCTGCGCCGCCGCCCGCGCCGGCCGCCCGGTGCACCGCCTCCCTGTCTATGAGTATCTTCACGGCGACGGCCGCCTGGTGCCAGTGCGCCTTGTACACGCGGCCAAAGGAGCCCTGCAGGCAGGCAGCGCAGGCAGGCAGGCAGGCAGGCAGGCAGGCTTTCAGGCAGGAAGGAAGGAAGGCATAGAGGGCAGACGGGACGGCCGGGCGGTGGCTGGCGCCTCGGGCTGTCTGGCGTCGCGGTGCATGCATGCTCGGCGCCGCTCGGGGCGCCGGCGGCGGCCCTCGCGCCGGGGCTCGCTGCCTCCCAGCGGCCCCCTTCACCACCCCCGTGCCGCACTGCTTCTCCACCGCAACCATCCCAGCTTTTAGGGCCCTCTTTCGACATGGTTTGGACAAGGCAACAACGTGGCAGCACCCCCCCACCCCGCCAGGAGGATCTGCGGCGGTCAATCGCCGCTTCCACCGGAAACTTGCCTCGCCGATCATCTTCACAATCGTGACTTCCTCGAATGCCACCTCCCAAGCGCACGTGTCCATGCCGCCCCCGGCGGCGGCCTCTCCGCCACTGCCGCTGCCGGGGCCCGGCCCCGCCCCCGCCGCGCCGCCGCCGCGCTGTCCACGCCAGCCCCGGCCGCCGCCACCGTCGCTGGCGGCGCCGCCGGCGCGGGGCAGCTGGGACTGGATGAAGGAGAGGACGGGGTCTTGGGCGAGCGCCGCGGCGGCGGCGCCAGAGCTGCGGGAAGAAAGGGGGGCAGAACTGGGTGGGGTGTCTGTGTGCACGTGCATGGGGCTGTGGTTGGGGTTGGGGTGGAGGGGCCAGCACTTAGACGGCTAAGCAGTTGGATGACAGGCAGCAAGCCCGGCGATGCACCCACTGCCGGCCTGGCAGGCAGGGCAGGCGTGCCAGGGGCAGCGGCAGGCGCGCGCGGCGCCCCCCGCAGCCTTCCCCCAGCGCCAGCCCACCTGCTGCTGCCAAACGACTTGCTGCCATCTGAGGCGGTGAGCTGCTGCTGCTGCTGCTGGGCAGCCCTGAAGACACCGAGAGTGCCTGCCAGCGGGTCTGCCCCTGCCGGGGGCGCCGCCACCGGCGTGGCGGGTGCGGCGCTGCTGCTTGGAAGGTACGCCCCCAGGGCGCTGTCGCCCAGCACGGCGCCGGCTCCGGCGCCGGCGCCCAGCACGCCGCGCGCCAGCGGCCCCACCGCGGCAAGGTCTCCCCGGGCGCACGGCGCGCTGCCGGCGCTGCCGGCGCTGCTGCTGGCGGCTCCAGAGGCTTTAGAGGACAGGGAGAGGCTGGGAGGGGCGGGCCCGTACGCCGCCGCCGCTGCTGCCGCCGCTCCCGCGCCGCCGGCAGGCATGCCTCCCGCCGCCGCGCCCTTGCCGGGCGTGCCTGCTCGGTAGTCTAATCGCTGCGCCGTACGGCGCTTGCGCACGCACACGACCGCCAGCCCGGCCGCCGCTGCGCCGGAGCAGCCGGGGGGCAGAGGGAGCAGGGGCAGGGGCAGGGGCAGGAGGCTCGGTAGAGGGCTGGCGCGGTAGGCAAGAGCGAAGGCGGCGTCAGTGTCAGGCATCAAGCGGCATCAGCAGCGTCAGCGTCAACTTCAGCAGCCCGGCCACGCACCTGCCGCGGCCGCCAGGCCCCCCAGCACGCCACCCACAATCGCGCCGATGGAGGCGCCTCCGCTGCTGCCGCCGCTGTCGGTGCTACCGCCGCCGTCGCCGCCGCCACCGTCGCCGCCGTCGCCGCCGCCGGTGCTGTTATCCGAGCAGGTGAGAGTGAGGTAACTGGGGGCTTTGTAGATGTCAACCTGCGCCGGGTTGGCAGCAATGTTCAATCAGAAATAATTGATGGAGTAGCAACTTAAACAACTGAAAGCAGCCGCCCAGCCTCACCAGATACCAGGTGAAGCAGTTTGGGGCGCCGCAGGCGCACTGCAGGGCGTCGGTGTTGAGGCAGGAGGCGTTGAGGTAGGCGGCGGGGGCCACCTGCGGGCCCCCCTGCGAGGTGTAGGCGGTGAGCAAGGCGTAGGCGCCCAGGCTGGGGTAGGAGCCCAGGTTGCCGGCCTGGCCGGCCGCCATCATGTCTGCAGTAGGCAGGGAGGGGGCAGGGGAGGCGGGCGTCGGAGAGGGCCGGGCGGCGGCCGCGCGCGCCGCAGTT